CAGGAAAAGAAAGAACATCCCGGGTCAAATGTTAACTTCAAGTTGAAGTATGGAAAAGAAATAACTCTGATGATCACCATGGCAACTGATTAAGTTCTTTGTTTTTATTTCAGTGGCGAAGTACCACAAGAGATTGTGTTGAATGGAAAAGACCAGGTAAATATTATTAACCGTTGCTGTTCAGAGAAAGCTGTTCCTCATTCACTTCTGGCTCAAGATGAAATATAAAGTCTTTTGTAGTAAAACCTGCCGGCTGACCAAATTCGAACTTCGAGATGCTAATTGCCGGAGGCGGGTAACCCTTGAGTTCCACTGGTTATTTTAATTTTCCCCCATTCTCCAGTCCTGGGAACAATTACCATCACTAGGTGCAAGCGAAGGCCAGAGGTTCAGTGCTTTTTTTAAAAGTCTGGTTTGCACCTGATGCGGAACTTTCAATTGATAGAATAAGAAAAACACTGAGATGGTTTTGGTGCGCAAATTTGATCTTCAGTATTCCTCATACCCCGGTCTCAGAGCTTATCTTTCTTCCTTCTTCTTCTGATGCGAAACTTAATGATTGTGAACACGCCACATTTTGGACTACTAAATGGAGAACTCTATAAAATAAATAAACAAGAATTTTTGTTTTCTTTCCGAGGCTCGCTAGCAAATTGGAATAACTTTAATTTTTTTTTCCTGTGGTTAATCTACTTTTCTCTTTCCTTAGGAGAATGACAGAAATAACAACTCGCTTGATAATTGTGAAAGGTAACGTTTTCAATATTCTGATTAGTTTTATATCTGTGAGGCTTTTTAGCTAGCAATAGAATTCGTGCTCTTTTCCTTCCAGATACGTGTCTCTGCATTTGAAAATACAAAACTCTTGTTTCAGAAACTACTTAAAACTCTTTTGTCCGGCGCAAAAAATACAGCGACTTCTCGCTTGAAAAACATTAACAGCAGCGACGACAATGTAAAACAAGCAACTAAATTCTGACGGTTTTTAGGAAAGAAAAAAGTTCCCGGCAAATGTTACCTAAAATATGGAAAAGAAATATCTCTGATGATTACCATAGCAACTGATTGAATTCTTCGTTTTATTTCAGTGGCGCAGCACCACAAGAAAATTTCTTTAATAACAAAGACCAGGTAAATAACCATTGCTATTTAGAGAAAGCTGTTCCTCCTTCACTTCTAGGCTCAAGATGAAATATGAAGTCTTTGCTAGTACAACCTAGCAGGGGACCAAAGTTGAACTTTTAGTTAAAAAAATACCACTTCGTGTACGGAAGGCAGGTAACCATTGAGTTCCAATAAGCCAATCAGAAGCCGTGTCTACTAACGTGATATCATGCAATATCAAGTCACTGACCTGATATGACTACGATATCATGCTGACTTGGATACAGTAAATACCAAATCGTACCTTTTTGGTTCGCTTCAGTTGTATATCAGGCTCGTTCGGTGACGCCCTGCATGGTTATTTTAGCTCGTCTACGTCTCGTCAAAATACGAATCATGGCTCGACCAAACTCGCCTGATACGCCACCAAAGCGTACCAAAAATTTCGACGACATAAAACCGTAATGTGCAGGTTATTTTTGTAAAATCGTAATATGCAGGTTATTTTATAAATGCACGGCCGGGTTTCTTGACTATCAATGGTCTGAATCTATGACAAGGCGAACTGATTAAGTTACCTTCAAACAAAAGAAAATTCAACTAAAAGTTTACTCAGTTGTGATCGCTCCAAAATAAGTTGAGCGATCCTTACAACTACCATATGATCGCCTTGATCGTAACAGAATGAAAAACGCCTGGAAGGACCTGGATCAAACAACGACGCATTGCATTCGGGTATATATTTTTTTTATTGCAGTGATCGCCACAAGCCACAGGGGTTTCCATATGATCCCAACCTGCTCAATTGTGTCGCGGGACAGGGTATGGGATTTGAGGTTCCCGATCCTTTTTGTCCTCAGCTCAATTTCCAATGCGTAAATGACCAGATAAATCAAAACAAATTCTTTGCTTTCAATGTTACAGAAACAAAATAAAGTTAACCCGTTCACCCCATTCTTACTTTTTGTTTTTCCTTTGAACAGCGTGTTATTTTTCGGGCTTCTGCCTTAAAAAAGGTCATCACTTTGCATCTACTTCTTGAAGACCCTTCACGGTACACACCTATCGGAAATTTACTGGAGTACCCCGCCCCTGGAAACTTTAGCCTTTATATAACAAAAGGACTTTTAAGATAAGAGGTTATAATAACCAAACAAGTTAAACCACGAGTAGTAATGATTGGGGAGGATTTGAGCGCGAGCCTCGCAAGTAATTTTCAGTAGCTTTAATTTTATTTCCCGCAGTTTATTTACTTTTCTCTTTCGTTAGGAGAATGACAGAGATCACAGCTCCCTTAAAAAGCTTGAAAGGTAAGTTATTCAACAGTCTGATTAGTTTTATATCCGTGAGGCTTGTTAGCTAGCAATAAAATTCTTATTCTTTTTCTTCCAGATACGTGTCTCCACATTTTAAAATACAAAACTCTTGTTTTGGAAACTACAATAATACTCTTTTGTCCGAGGCAAAAAATGCAGCGACTTCTCGTTTGAAAAAGGATTGTAAAACAAGCGAGTAAACTCTTACGATTTTTCAGGAAAGAAAAAGGCCCGGCAAATGTCAACTGAAATATGACAAAGAAATATCCCTGATTATTACCATAGCAACTGATAGAATTCTTCGTTTTTATTTCAGTAGCGCAGTTCCACAAGAAAATGTCTTAAATAGAGAAGACCAGGTAAATAACCATTCCTATTAAGAGAGAACTGTTCCTCTTTCACTTCTATGCTCAAGGTGAAATATGAAGTCTTTGCTGGTAAAACCTAGCAGCTGACCAAAGTCGAACTTTTAGTTAAAAAAAAAAAAACATTTCGTGTACGGGAGGGTGGTAAACCATTGAGTTCCAATTAACCAATCAGAAGCCGTGTCTACTGTCCTGATATCCTGCGACATCAAGTCACTGACCTGATACCTTCAAACAAAAGAAACTTCAACTAAAATTTTACTCAGGCCTTGATCATTACAGAATAAAAAACGCCTGGAAGGACCCGGATCAAACAACGACGCATTGCATTCTGGCATATTTTTCATCGCAATACTGATAACCGCTACAAGCCACAGAGGTTTCCATATGATCCCAACTTTAATTTTTTTCCTGCAGTTTACTTACTTTTCTGTTTCCTTAGGAGAAGGACAGAAATACCAGCTCCCTTGATAAGCTTGAAAGGTAAGTTATTCAACATTGTGATCAGGTTTGCATCTGTGAGGCTTGTTAGCTAGCAATATAATTCTTCTTTTTCTTCCTCTTCTTCTTCTTCTTCTTCTTCCACATACGTTTCTCTGCATCTGATTGAATACTTTGTTTTTATTTCAGTGGTGAAGTACCTCAAGAGAATGTCTTAAATAACAAAGACCAGGTAAGTAACCATTGCTATTTAGAGAAAGCTGTTCTTCCTTCACTTCTAGGCTCAAGATGAAATATGAAGTCTTTGCTGGTAAGACCTAGCAGCTGATTAAAGTCGAACTTTTAGTTTAAAAAGTCACTTCATGCGCGGGAGGCAGGTAGCAATTGAGGTCCAATTAGCCAATCAGAAGCCGTGTCTACTAGTCGCTGACCTGATATGACCACGATATCATGCTCACTTGGCGCATGTACATGTGGGTACAGTAAATACCTAATCGTACCTTTTTGGCACGTTTCGGTGGCATATCAAGCTCGTTTGGTCTCGCTATTGGTATTTTGGCTCGACTACGTTTCGCCAAAATACGAACCACGGCTCGACCGAACTAGCTTGATATGCCACCGAAGTTTACCAAAACTTTTGACGGCGTAAAACCATAATGTGCAAGTTATTTTATAAATGCACGGCCGGGTTTGTTGACTATCAATGGTCTGAAACTATACCAAGGTGAACTGAGTAAGCTACCTTCAAACAAAAGAAACTTCAACTAAAGTTTTACGCAGGTGCAATAAAGGTTAGTTTCCAAGCTGAGCGATCCTTACAACTTCCATATAGTCGCCTTGATCGTAACAGAATAAAAAACGCCCGGAGGGACCTGGATCAAACAACGACGTATTGCCTTATGGTATATTTTATATCGCAATGATCGCTGCAAGCCACAAGGGTTTACATATCATCCCAACCTGCTCAATTGTGCCGAAGGACAGGATATGATTTTTGAGGTTCCCGGTCTACATCCCAGCTAAATTGCCATTGCGTAAATGACCAGCTAAACGAAAAACAAATTCTATGCTTTCAATGTTGAAGAAACAAAATAAAGCTCACCTGTTCACGTTATTCTCAGTTTCTGTTTTTCCTTTGAACAGGGTTTTATTTTTCGGGTTTCTGCCTTCAACAGGGTATCTATTTGCGTTTAATTTACTTCTTTAAGACCGCGGAACACACCTATCCGAAGTTTACGGGAGTACCCCGCCCCTGGAAACTTTAACCTTAACATAACAAAAGGACTTTTGAGATAAGAGATTGTAACAACCAAACAGGTTAGACCAAGGATAGTAATGATTCACGGGGAGGATTTGAGCGCGAGGCTCGCTAACAATTTTTATTTACTCTTCTCTTCCTTAGGAGAATGACGGAAGTAACAGCTCTCTTGATAAGTTTGAAAGGTAAGCTTTTCAATATTCTGATTAGGTGTATATCTGCTAAGCTTGTTAGCTAGCAATACAATTCGTCTTCTTTTTTTTTTCTCCTTCTTCTGCTTGTTACGGTTTTCCAGGGAAGATGAAAGTTCCCGGCAAATGTTAACTGAAATATGGAAAAGAAATATATCTGTGATGATTACCATAGCAACTGATTGAATCATCGTTTTTATTTCAGTGGCGCAGTACCACAGGAAAACGCCTTAAGTGAAAAAGACCAGGTAGATAACCATCCCTATTTAGAGAAAGCTGTTCCTCCTCCACTTCTAGGCTCAAGAAGCGATTAGTTCTTTAAGACCCTTCGCGGCACACGCCTATCCGGAGTTTGCCGGAGAAGCCCGCCCCTGGAAACTTTAGCCCTCATATAACAAAAGTACTTTTAAGATAAGAGGTTGTAATAACCAAACAGGTTAGACCAAGGATGGTAATGATTTAGGAGGATTTGAGCACGAGGCTCGCTAGCAGTTTTCAATAATTTTAATTTTATTTCCTGCAGTTTATTTACTTTTCTCTTTCCTTAGGAGAATGACAGCTCGCTTGATAAGCTTGAAAGGTAAGTTGTTAAACATTCTGATCAGATTGATATCTGTGAGGCCTAGGCTTGTTCAATAACAATAGAATTCTTTTTCTTTTTCGTTTTGTTGTTGTCGTTGTAGTTCTTCTTCTTCTTCTTCTTCTTCTTCTTCTTCTTCTTCTTCTTCTTCTTCTTCTTCCTCAGTCTTCTTCTTCTTCTTCTTCCAGATACGTGTCTCTGCATTTGAAAATACAAAACTCTTGTTTCGGAAACTACAGTAATACTCTTTTGTCCGGCGCAAAAAATGTAGCAACTTCTCGTTTGAAAAACGTTAACAACAGCGACGACAACGTAAAACAAAGGAGTAAAATCTTACGGTTTTTCAGGAAAGAAAAAAGGTCCCGGCAAAAGAAATATCTCTGATGATTACCATAGCAACTGATTGAATTCTTCGTTTTATTTCAGTATTGAAGTACCGCAAGAGAATGTCGTAAATGAAGAAGACCAGGTAGATGACCATTGCTATTTAGAGAACGCTGTCTCCCCTTTACTTCTAGGCTCAAGATGAAATATGAAGTTTTTGCTGGTAAAACCTGGCAGCTGACCAAAGTCGAACTTGAGTTCTAATTAGCCAATCAGAAGCCCTGTCTACTGTCCTGCTATTAAGCAATAGAACACGTTTTCCATGTTTACATAGCCTCATCTAAACACGTGGTTCGGAGAATTCGAAACTTTCGAGAATTCTCCCAATCCCCGAGTGTTTAGATGAGGCTATGTAAACACCGAAAAAGTGTTCTACTGCTTTCATAAAATAATTCTCAAAAATACGCGCGAAGCTAAAATGTCACAACCGTGTTTACATACTCTCATGTAAGCACACCTATCGACCAATGAGTGCGCGTAGTAGCTCAGTTATTTTATAATCTGCGATATCAAGCGACTGACCTGATATGACTACGATATCATGCTCACTTGAGCGGCACACACCTGTCCGAATTTTACGGGAGTACCCCGCCCCTGGAAACTTAAGCCTTCATATAACCATAGCTAATAGAGCGAACTGGTTATGAAGCCCGGCAAACATCAAAGGAGCAAACAAAGACGCCAAGATTTATGTTGGAAGGTCCACGACGGAGCACAATCGTTTGTTTTGCGCTAATACACTATGCATGAATTACGTAACCAACACGTTTCTATTGGTTCATTCCTCAGTGCGAAGTGAACAACTATTCTGTTTTGTGCACCGTCAAGGCCAAAAAAGCGAACAAAAACATACAACAAAGAACTTTGTCGGGTTTCACAACCATTCCCCTCTATTAACTATGATATAACTAAAGGACTTTTAAGATAAGAAGTTATAATAACCAAACACGTCAGGCCAAGAATAGTAGTGATTGGGGTGGATTTGAGCGCGAGGCTCCCACATAATTTTCAATACCTTTAATTTTTCTTCCTGTTGTTAACTAAGCGTAAACCCCACGTTAAATTAAGTATCGTATCGTA